GATGATGCAACATCAGGGCGATAGAAGGGTAGACACACTAAAGCTTCGTCGATCACTTTTGCTATCTACTTTACAGGAAGTGCAGATCGTTCTTTTATCACAATATCGGCCGATCATGATTCGACACAGACAAGCTGAGCACGATAATCCGAAACTTTGCGCTCCCGGGCGATGTCGCCATCAACGTTCTCTATCAGTGTTTCTGTGATCATGAACATGCTGAAGCCTATAAATTGTCGCTAATCCAGCATTTCAGGTATCAACTCCGTAGAGACAATGAGTGTCGATCTCGTGGATTATGAAATACGGGGATATTAGAGCCTGCCCGACTATCTTATGTCTCGTAGGCGGCCAGAGCTGTGGTCAAGCGACGTGAGGAATCCAGTCGAGCTATCATCTTTAGATAGAATACGTGGACAGAAGCAGGGATAATGAAGGGCGACGAGTGCACGATGCGTGGCTTAGACTGATTCACTTAAGGGGATTTCTGACATCCAGGCCCGAGAAATCCTTCGAACTTTGATGCGTGGATCCACGAGTACGATTGTCATGCAAAGAAGGTATGGCAACCACTTTTATATACATGGAAACCAAGGAAAACAACAAGAAGGATGTCCGTCAATGCAATGATGAAAACCTAACAGCATGAAATTCAATACTGGATGCTTTTCCTCCACCTAAATGCTGAGAAATAAGTCTTAAGTATCGCATAAATGATACAAGGCAGACACTATTCTCGGAGAGTTTGGTGACATGCGGTAGTGGTATTGGTTGATTGAGATACCTGAATGGGTAGAGGCCGCCGAATAGTGATAGATGGAGCCAGGGGTGGATAGGACAAGGTGCCAGTAAGGAGAAACTCCCGCCCGCTGTCACGCCAATGGTGCTTTTGACCTTTTTGTCATTTGGAATCTTAGAAGCATTGAAAGAACCTTTGTTTTCTCTCAGGATGCAGTGCTACTGAGATGTTTCTTAAAAAGACTTCATCGAGCGACACTCAAGCTTAGGTAGATCTATATTGTCAGACTCTGGAGATTTTGGGGCGATGGTAATACCCTAGTGATATCACCTGCATCCGCCCAAGATTCGCGATCGGGGTGGCATTCACACTGAATGGTGTGACGGTTCAAAGAGAAGAAACGAGCCTATCGTCGTGTGAGTTTTCAAGTGACTTGAAGATTGCGCAGCAGAGGATAATGGGGAATACTTTGTAGATGACGAGAGTGATCAGTGATAATTTGCCGCTTTCAAGGTCAACTCCAACATTGTGGGCAAGAACGACAGTGCAAGCCTTGACGCCAGTGATCCCCACGTCACGCACGTCTTCCACCAACACTGTGTAGACCTCACGGGAGAAACGAGGCAATCATCTTGCCTAAGACTCCGATGACGGAAGATCTTGAAGCGGTTCTTATATGTTCTTCTGTTCCACTATGGTCTCGATGGTAATGATATTAGAACACAATGGCGAGCAATAGTGTGCTTTAACTTAATAAGCGATATGCAATATTGAGGGAAGTTTTCATTCAAGATGAGGCTAGAAGACACGATCTCATTCATCTTACAGTATAAAAAGCATGGGCGTTGGTGATTTTGATCCGCATGAAACCATTACACGTTTGTGCCGAGGCATCTGGAAAGATGATATGATCACCGACGTAGCCCTGGGTGTAGGAACCTGAGGAATGCTTCCAAGTTATCCTCAAGTACCTAAAGAAAACTTCCATGCAAGATCGTGAATACCCAACGAATGACAGTGGGCAGGGACAGACGACAGCAACCATCACATTGAATATGAATAGTGTGCAAGACACCATCAGGACAAGGTGTAACGTATGGGACTGTTTGATCTGAGGCAAAAGCCTTGGTCCTACACAGCGCGAATTTCCCCGAGACCTTATTGTGTGTTCTGGCGCTTCCCGGTCATCTCAAGGTCTTTCCTTTTCTAAGATGCTTCTTGTGACATCAGCAGGCTTAGCAATGACTTCGCACATTGCAGAGCTTTCCTCGTGGCCTTGTGGATCAGGCTAGCCCTAGCCATAAAACTCAGAGGGAGACCTTCAAGCACCAATAGCAAGCAATGTGATTGTCGTCGTCGTATCCAGCTCAAAGCCAGGAAGACTTCACAGTGGGACGTATTTAGCACTCGAAGGAAGTTGAGTCCTATTCATACGACTCCTGGAAACCCATTCAACGTGAGTATGGACTTCAAAATGTAATTGTCTCGCATTGTTACATGCCGACTGTTGCGCTGAACACGTCCTCAACGACAGGAACATTGACGTGAAGCCTGTGGGCCTAGCCGGTCTTGACAGAGACCCCGACTGAAACGATGTCTTCCGAGAACCGTATGAGCCTTTTCTTTAAGGATATGTTGCACGACGAGCTTTTAACCGCCTGGATACCAGCTGAAGGTATTTCCCATGGAGTATTGAGTCTACTGAAGTGCTCCTCATATGCCTATTAGTACCCAGTCGTGAGAGTACATGTATCGACCCGGTTTTTCTAAGAGACCGAAACGGCTCTTTCTCGCATCATGTATAAAAGGAATACGTTCGGTGTCTGATTTTTTGGAACAAGGAACAACAGAATGATGCCTTTCTGACATTGAATGTTCCATCGAGGGAACTTATTCGAAGCAGGCCACCTAGGCCAGATCTGCTAACCTTCTGTTGCAACTCCGTGTGCCTCATGCTATGATAAAACACCGCGCTGAATAATACTTAATCATATGTTCCGGGAACAACAGAAATGACGATCTAGAGCAAAATCATCGCCCGGAAGATGACGTGGACCGGGTGTAGATGCCCACCACGTCTCGTGCCGTGAAGGGCCAAGTGCGAGAAGTACAAGTTCAATCATCCGTTCTGGGCCGGCTAGTGATCGTTGTTGAGATTTATCTCGGCCCTGCCGCGTTCGAAAGGCATAGAAAGATTGGCGATGCGGACTCTCATGCCTGCGTAGTCTTGACGGCCCCGTCTCCAACCTGCGGGGTGTTGACCGTTCTGCCCACAATTCAAAAGACTGAGCCAGCCATGCTCACAGAAAAAAATCGTCATTCCAGCTCTGCCATCATCAATATCGAAAAGACGTCCGTCCCTCTGGAGTTGAAGTCTAATCCACAGTCAAATCGCAAAACAGCCAGCCAAACAGCCAAGCCTTCGAAATGGCCTCCATGTCCCCTCCACCCACCCAAAAAAGCCCCTCCCAACCAACACGAAAAAGCGAACAAACCTCTCACGATCCCAGCCCTCCCTCTTCTCCACAGACCGCAACTGATCAACCACCGCCCTAACCCAGAACCCGCCTAGCGCCACCTTCCATCACGTTTTTCCCATTTGCTAGCGCAGGCCAGTTCGTGCACGGAGCACGCAGCTCTCGAAAAAGAGCTCCCGTCAGAGCTCTGCGGAGGAGTCCAGTTTGGAGGAGCTTTCGCAAATCGCACGCAGCTGGGGGACCCTGTGCCTGTGCCTGCGCTTTGCCCAGAGGTTCATGTCGGTCATCAGAGACAAGGCCCCCGAAAATCCCCAGCCATCTTCTTTTTCGTCCCCTCTTCCATTCTCAGTCGCAAACTCCGCGAAATGTCTCAGTAGGCAGACTTTCCATAGCCCATAGTCCGTAGTCCTGGCACAAATCTGCAAAAAAAAATATCAGTCAGATTTCCAATTCCCTCTCACCGCCGCTTTCTATCAGAAAGGCAAACAAGAGAAAATACCACATCTCACAACGTCGTATATGCCCCAAAACTCTCGACTGCAGCGAAACCTGATTACCCAAAGCGCAATTCGCACATTCAATTGGCCCTACCACGTTCTGGACTCTTCAACAACGGACCAGGCCTACATCGAAGAAACCCTCGCTACCAGAAAGCGACACCCCGGCCATATCTTGGTTTCCCCCCTCCGGTTCACCTCTCACACCCGCAGAAAAAGAGGGCATCCCGTCCACATTTTTCCCATATTCCACATTCCATACAGACCACATCATCGTTCCCGGCACTTCTCCCCGTCCACTCATCGACAATCGCTCAAGTAAAATCCCCGGCACTAGCGAAAAAAGACGAGACGAAAACGCAGGAGAGAGGAAGCGACGGAGGCTGCAAACGCACACTCGCATCGCGAAGAAAGAGTCCACATTGCCCGCTGCGCGTCCTGGCCTCTCTAACCTTGCGTCGTCCACTTCTTCGAGCAAACCAGAGAGCTCCACGATCAAGCGGCCCCCCCTAGCTTGAACGGAATCCAGAACGTCTGATCTTCGAACCTAAGCTTTTTCATCTTGAAGCCCAAGGTGACCAGTTTTCGTATCATCGAATTTGGCCCAACTCATCCTCCTTGAAAAAAGCATTAAAAAGGCAGATAACCCCCATGACTAGCCATTCATAGCTTTTCATCATCATCAAACAGCTCCAAATCCAAGAATAACCAAACCCCACGTGCGCAAGAGCAAGAAAAAGCCCCAACGTCGCATTCTCCATTTCTCCAGCCTCACACACACAAGAGGGGCGGGGGATACAAAGACGAGCGCACGAAAAAAAACGGGCGTGTGTTCCAGGTTACACCGAATCCATATCTTGTCACTCACTCTCTCACTCTCTTTCCGTATTCCGTGGTGGATTACTCTTCTCCCCCCAGTCTCTCTCTCACACACAAACCCACACTCTCTTCCTCCACGTCCACTTCTTTCCCTCCTCCACTGCTCTCGCTTCCCTCCCATCCCTCACCTTCCTCACCCCTCTCACAAGGAAAGCCATTCCAGCACAGATCCCAAGCTGGTCCTTCTTCAACCTTGCTCTCCTCCATCCTCTCCCCCAGCTCACACAACCGAACCACGCCAACAAACCCGCCACCAGCCCTACGCACTCGTCCCGCGAACTACTCACAGCAGCCAGCATCCATCTTCCCTGCTCCGAGTCCCAAAACCCCTCCCGCCTGCCTCAATTCCCCTCTAGACAATTAGACAACACCCTCCAGATAGAGAAACCACAAGACAAAACCGCAACAATGGGCTTCTTCGACTTCGACAACGGGTCCGTCCTCTCCCACAAGTCATCCCACTCGCGCCGGCACTCCTCGCACCACAAATCCTCCAAGTCCAAGCACCGCTCGCGCTCCAACTCGTCCTCCCACTCAAAGAGCAACAAGCGGCACAGCGCCCCCAGCATCGTCGGGTCCATCTTCGGCGGCGGCGACGACCACTACAGGAAGCACAACTCGTCCCGCTCCGGCTTCTTCGGCATCCCGAACGCCTCCCGCTCCTCGTCGGGCTTCTTCGGCTTCGGAGGTACGTCGTGTCTCTGTACTCCGTGCCCTACGTCTCTGTGCTCTGCCTCCTCGTGCCCCGCGACATCCAAGACATGACCTATCCTTTCAAACAAACCCACTAACCCGCAAAACCAGGCCGCTCCCCGTCCTACTACAAGCGCTCCCCGCGCTCCGGCTTCCTCCACAAGACCATGAAGCAAGTCAAGCGCCTCTGGCGCGACCTCGTCTACTACGCCAAGAAGCACCCCTACAAGGTCCTCGCCCTCGTCATCATGCCCCTCATCACCGGCGGCTTCCTGACCGCCCTCCTCGCGCGCTTCGGCCTGCGCCTGCCGCCCGGCATCGAGCGCATGATCGGCATCGGCGCGAAAGCCGCCCAGGGCGACTCCGTCGGCCTCGTCGGCGAGGCCATGCGCATGGCCACCACCGGCCTCGGCGCCGGCGCGCGCGGTGGGAGCGTGCACGTCGAGCGCGGCTACGACGGCGGCATGTCGTGGGAGCGTAGGAGCGTCGAGAGGGAGGGCGGGTGGAGCGATGGGATTGTGAATGGCATTGCCAAGATGTTTGTGTAGATTGACACTCGGAAAAGAGGGGTCTGGTGATGATGCGTTTATGAAAGTTTTCGTCTGGGACGAAGGGCAGATTGCGGTTTTTTGTTGCTTGGGAAGGTTATATCCACATGTCGATTTTGGGCGTTTGAGGTTAACATTCTGGTTCGTCCCATGCTTCTGGGGTCGACCTGGCGGGCGCATTTACATATAGATGCATGATGCATACGTTTTAAGTATAGATCAAGAGACGAATTATGACCTTAGACATCACTCGGAAGAACACAACTGTTTGAGTGGTTGAGACGGATTCATTAGGAAATCAAGGCTCTATTATGCATACAAGACAACGCCAGACGACACTCATTTCTTCTTTTTCCTGCTCGCGACGGGCTTCCTCTTAGATGGCGACGGATTGGACGACTTCTTGCCCCGCGACGATTCACGCGCTGGTTCTCGGGACGCAGCCTCTTCAACAACGATGGCCTCCCTCCGGCCGCGCCTTGTCTGCGGCGGCGGCGGCGCAGGCTCGACGATCTGCGCGCCATTCCCAGTACCGTCGCTGGTGCTCTCCTCCGTGCTTTCCTCGCTGCTGCTGTCGCTGGACGATGCCGACTCCGGAGGTGGAGCCCGCGACCTCGTCACGCGCGAGGTAGCTGGAACCGTAGGAGTCCGTCTGCCATCTGTTGAGCCCGACACTTTACGCCGAGCTACAATGCCTTGGGCGCTGGAACCCTCCGTCTGAAACTGGAAAGGATCGACCGCCGCCTTCGGCTTTGACTTTGATGATGTAGACGACGCCGGCGACATGTTGTCCGAGACCTGGCGCGAACCGACGTACGCGTATTGGAATGGCGACGAACCTCGAGGTTCGCCGCCCGAAGGAGGTCGCTGGGACGAAGAAGTTGATGAACTATGGCGTGTGCGAGAAGCGTTCGGGGGAGGAAAGTAGCCCACGGGAGGCATTGCGCCTCGGTTTTGAACCGCGTCGAAGGTGCCAGGAGACGGGTGGAGCGGCAAGTCATCGTCCGCAGTCGGAGACCGTCTTCTAATCGGTGCCTGCAATTGTGACAGCGGGATGGAGTAGCGTTGCTCCTTCTCCTTGCGCCGTCTGCGCTCTTGCTTGCGCGCTTCCTTTGCCATGCGTTTCTTGTGTCGCTCCAGCGCAGCCATCTCGTCCTTGTTGAGCTTGACATCTGCTCTGCCCTTTTCCTGGGCACGGCGGATGCGAGCTAGTGCTGTCTGTACCAATGCCTCCTCCCGCTCCATCGGCGAAAGCTGATCCCAATCCATCTCGAACTCGTCTTCCGAAGAGTCGTCGTCTTCTTCGCTGTCGTCCTCGCTGCTGTCGTCTTCGTCCTCTGACTGATATTCGTAGCCCCTCCGCGATGTGCCCGTCCTGTCACCCAAGTCTGTACCCGTAAACCGAAGCGAGTCGCTGGCGATCCGCTTGCCCCTCGAAACCAAACCAACGCCTTGTATATCCGAATCGTTCTCGTCCGTCTCTAGCTCCTCGACTCTCTCTCCACTATCCCAATGCCCCCGTTGCGCTGCTCCCTGATTCCTCCGCCCGCGCCTCGATGGTCTTCCCCACTGGGGCGCAAATTTGGGAGCTCGCGGCCGACCGTCTAGACCGCCTCCCCGGAAAAAGCCTCATCGATGGGCTTGTCCATAAAAGCAGCGTGGCCGAGAATGACCACGCCAGAAGCACCGATGAGCCAGAGCAGCGTCGAGAAGGGCGACGCGAACAAGCCCACGGGAATGGCGATGACGAGGAGACCGGTCCACAGCTGGGAGGTGGAGGCGCGGAAGGTACCGATCTCGAGATCACGGCCGTCAAGCTTGCCGATGAGGAACATGCCTGCAACGACGAAGATGATGTCGAACAGCAACAGCCAGTTGGTGAGCAGCGCGTAGATGCTGAGCATGAGGAAGACGACGCTGTAGTTGCTGGAGAAGTAGGAGAGGTTGTAGTTCCATCGCGACTGGACCTCGCCAAAGTTGCCAGGCTTGGAGAGGCGCTTCATGTCGAAGAACTCGCCGACGGGGCGCAGGTTGGCGAACCTGGCGGTCAAGCCGCCGGAGCGCATGCTGTTGAAGCGGTCCTGGATGTTCAGGCGGGACGTCAGGGCGTCGATGGGAATCTGGATGCGAGCCATTGTGTCGGTGGTGGCCGGTTAGGGGTACGCGTGGAGATGGATAGGAAGTCGGAAGAGAAGTGTCGAAGTGACGGTCGCAAAGGAGTTCGCAAGAAAAGACAGTGGTCTATTTGAAAAGGTGCAGGTTAGCGGGTTGTGCAGGGTCGGTCAAAGTGGAAGAAATGGAGGCTTTGAAACAATTGGATGGGTTTAGGCCATGTGTCTTTTCAGCTCCATTCCGCCAGGGAATTAGCTTTTTTTGTTGGACGCGGGCGACAGAGCACGTACGTAACCCAGGGCTTGGGCCGCAGACTGGAGATGCACCTTGTGCAGGCAGCGACAATACGGGACAGGATAGCTAACCTTGTGGAGGCGGTGACTGGTTAGGTCGATGAAGCCGATGACAGTGTCGTCGTGATGTTGGTCGTGTGCGTTGCGTTGGATGCTCCGGAAAGCAGTGACCGAACTTTTTCCCGCGTTTTCTTTTTTTTAATTCCCGGATGCTTTGCTGGATCCGTAATCTCGTCAACAGCTCAGGGGGTGCTGATTGATTTGCGCTAAAACGGCACGGCGTTGGAGAAAGGGGCCCCCTGTCGCTCCAGTAAGGCAAGGTATCGTCCGGTATGCGGCGACGGGAGGGCAAGATTCGCAGGGCTGAACGGTCGACAGGCCGAGACCGAGAGAAAGACAAAAGTCGGAATGGTTGGTGGAATGGGGGTGGAGAGTGCGCCTGTTCGGACGGTGGGAGCAGGATGAGCCGAGAATGAAAGGGAGCTTTCGTGAAGGTGCGGGCAGCGATAAAGGCACCGCAGATTGGTATCTTGCAAAAAGGCACTCCTCCCCCTCTCTCACCTCCCTCGGGGTGCTGGTGAGAGCGAGATGTCGGGTCGCCTATTCGTTGCCCGTGTCGTGACGGTCCGTGTTCCTCCTGCAGTCACGGCGTCAAAAGAGGCATCTCGACATCCCCGTCCAACTCGCAGCAAACGAAGAAGGAGGGAAGATGGGGTACAGACGACGAGGACAAGAGGTAAAGGAGGGGATATGTGGTAGGTTAATAACGAAGGAAGCGGAGGGGAGAGGACGAGCTCTGACCGCCCCTCCTCGCTCTTGCACGAATGCAGACTTTTCTGTACGTCAGGCACCGTCGGAATAGGTGTGGTGACTGGTGGTGAGTGACGGTACTGAGCGTGTGGTAGGTTGTCGCAGGTAGGTAGCTATCTATCTGACTTTCTATTCTGGCTCTCGGCGACCTTGGCCGGCGCTGCCACCACCGCCACCACCACCTTACATCGCCATCACTGCCCAACGTCTCACTGCCCGCGCAGCACGATTCCTGTTTCTCTCCCCTCCTTGGTGTCGCTGCCGTTGCCATTGCCGTTGAGAGTGCCGCACTTTCGGGATAAGCATGAGTCGGAACGGCATTGGAATGGACCGGACAAGACAAGGCCGTCAGCCTAGCTGGGTCGCTCATGCAGGTGCTGGCAAGTGAGAGGCGGCCAAGTCAACGAGAGGCTGCCGAACGTTTCTACACCGCATATGCGATGCGTGATATGGATCCCTAGAAGAAGCCGGATGGGTCCCCCGAAGCACCGAAGCTTCATGGTGATGGGGCCGGGGATCTGGGGTCTGGAGGCGGTGGGCGGTGGGAGAGGTCGGACGGCAGCAGCTGTGGTCTGTGATGGAGGGCGGGAGGCGAATGGAAGCAAACGGAGCGGGCCAATGGCGGCTCAGCTGTACCTAATGGGAGAAGCCCAAGCGACACCACGCACGACGCTTGTGAAGTCCAAGGAAGTGTTGCAGTGTCCCCAGGGACAGCCCCAGATGCCCGAGTGACGCTACTGCCATACCAAAAGCAGAGCCTTGCCTATTACTGCATAGCATCCGGATCGTGACATGACGCCAATGGGAGCGGTGGAATGCGGACTGTTGAATGGGGGAGGAAAAGAAGGGATGACGGGTGTGATGGCGCGAGTGCTTTTTCAGCCCAATGCTGATGGTATGTCAATGCGTACTTATCCTGCAGCGCAATTAAGTATTCCTTCCTGCCAGAACCTACCTTAGTAGGAGACATTTCACATGCGGTTCGCTTGTCAATTTGTGCGGGTGCCTTCTTGTTCTGGAACCGCGATTCGTGCTGAACCAACAGACGGCGGGCGCAAGTCGCATGTCGCATGTCGCCTGTTCCAACCAACAAGATGCGACTCTGAGTTGAAATGGTATCCGCGATGGAAATTGATATTGATAGATATTGGTATCCGTACGAGTTGGGAGGCAGGGGACGGAATGGGACATGGCTTGTATGGGCAGTTCCGTGCCAAGACGTACCTTCTCTACGAATCTACAGAACGAGAGACCTTGATATGCGCACGAGTTGGGCAGGTACGATCCAGCTCGCGTGCCTTCCTCCTCCCCTTCGTCGCTTCCCGTTGCATGTCTGGCAGGCACAATCGACCAGCAAAACCAAGCAGGAACTACCTTACATACCTACCTGAGAAACTTGGAAGGCGTCGGAAGGCGTCGCGTTGCACATGGACAACACCTTCTTCGGTCTCCTTCCCGTCGGACATTTTTAGGCGGGAACGTAGCACTGCACCGCACTGCACCGCACTGCACCTCACCTCACTTGGGCCAGAAACAACGATGGGCAGGAGAAGAAATAAAGTCGCGATGCAATGCTCCCCCAGAATGCAAGTCTTGCCCGGTTTGCCTCGCCAATCACAGCACATGGCGCGGCGCCTCCTTTCTGCTTGCTTCTTCCCCTACCTTACCACGCTTGCCTGACCTTACCTGCCGTGCGTGCGTGCCTACCTTACCGCACCTAAGCTTCTTGCATCTGCTGTCTTGTGTCTCTCTTGCCTCCGTCAGATGCTGTTTCGTCCTGCCGCG